CCCCATGGGGCAGATGTTAGTCATATTACATAATGCAAAGATACTGCAGTGATGAGAGTGGGATAAGAGCCTGTATAGAACAGAAAACTTTATCTCACTGCTAAGAATAGGTTCCTGCTATTCAGCTCTGAATTTCTCTCTTGTCAAATTCAGCCACTTGCTCCCAGCCACACCCCTTGAATGCCCCTCAACAAGCCCCTCATTTGTCTCAGCCTTTGTCCCTTTCCATGCCTCTCAGTCAGTTCTGACCCAAGCTTAGACATATTTAGCAATTTTTATTCTTAACTCATGAGTCAGTCCCTCCAGCCATTTTTGGCTGTTCTTCTCTTAGAATATCTTCCGATCTGACATCATTCTCTCTGACAGAAAGGGGACCCAGAAGTGAACAGAGTTCCTAGAGCCACACAGAAGGGCTGTCTCTGCCTTGCTTCAGGCCTATTTGGTCCCCATGTATGTGATGAATCCCCAAAGGAAATCCATCTAGTAAACCAGAAGTCCTCCCCCTCCTCAGAGGGGAAGGACAAAAAAATCCAACATGGGAATCAACTAATTCTGGGGGGCAACAAATGAAAAAGACAAGAATGGGAGTGAGGGTTGTATGTTTACAAGCAGAGTTCCAGAGGGGGACACTGCGCAGAGGACCCCGAACAGCGGCCATTACTTCTCAAAAGAGTCCACGGAGCTAATGGGCACTGCCCAGAGGAACTCTGCCCAGAGACATGAATGTGCAAGTGTACAAATTGGAGCCCCACAGTCATGTTTGCAAGGAACCCCCCTGTCCTACCCCTTCTTCCTTGGTAGATACATGGCCAACTCCCAGAGGAGGTTGATGAAGAGGTCCTGTGACTTCACGTGACCACGGATGGGGAGAGCGTAAATAAAAAGGTCTGGAAAAAAGTGAAGCCAGAACCTCAGCAAGAGGTTCTGGAGCATGCAGGAAAATGGCTGCAACCTGGTGCACAGTAAATATGAATGCGTCAAGGTCTCCCTCTCGCCACAAGAAAAATAAGCGTTGGGGAGTCTGAAAAGTGCGTCAGCAATGTGTCTGAGCTCATGGCTCCATGGCGGAGCTGCCAACCTATAACACCAGTGGGCTGTGGAACCAAGGTGGAATACAGGCTGGCCCACTGGGGCTCCTAGCCCTCCACAGATGGCAAAAGGACAGTTCATATCAGGGACAGGACAGAAAAGCGAGGATCGTTTGGAGCTCCAGCTTCTGTAGTTGTTCCTGTGATGCAGCTCGGAAGCGGAGCTCATGTGGGAGGTTTGAAGCAGCTGGCTTGCAGGGCAAGGGCCAGGGGATACAGGTGGGTGGGGAACACCTTGCTGCAGGACTCACTCAAGGAAAGATAAAGAGGCAGGGGGCAGGGCAGCCTTTACATCCTGGAGCATGAGGTGGGGGACACATGGGGTGGGCAACTCCATACACTCAGCGAGTGTACAGTATCCACCTAGACCTGCTGACTGTAGTCCAGGAGGTCTCCGACTTTGGTGTCACCAGCCAAGACCAATCTCCTGTGCAGCGAGGTCACCTCCTCCACCTCTGCCACACAATGTAGATTGTGGAACCAGGGTTCAACAGGGAGTTGACACCCTCGGTAGCCACAATGGATCCAGCTGCAGAGGCCAACTTCAAGGTATTGAGGAGGTCCTGGTAAAAGACCAGTGGCTCAGAGGCATCTCGAGGGAGACTCTTGGCTGGAGTTAAAAGAGCTGCCAGTCATATCAGAGCCCTCAGAGGCGGCACAGGAAGGCGTGCCATAACTGGCTCCGTGTCGGACTATGAGCTCTAGAAAGGAGCCTCTGCAGAGCCTGAAGACAGAAAGTATGAACCTGGCTGTGTATACATACCAGGCCCTACCATCCCTCTTCCAGATGGAGGCTCAGGACACCTAAAGAGACCCAGTGCTTCCCTGGTCAAAAGAACTCCAGGACCTTCCTCTGGAAGTGGAGGAGTGGACACAGGATGTTGAACCAGTCAGGGGTGCTGGAGCTCTCCCAAAAGTGGCTCCCCACAGCTGCTGCTGAGACTCCCCAGCCAGGCTCCATGCTGGCATGGCCAGGGAGGGGCACTCGGCAGGAAGAGGAGGGGAAGGGGACAGGGTCTGCCCAGGTGACAAGTGGACGGGCCAGGCCCCCTGACTTTCAAAAAGTGGGAGGGCCCTGCCCGGTTCTGGTGCCTCTGGAACCAGTGACAGAGCATGGACAGGACCAGCTAGTTAACAACCAGTGCCCTTCCCCCAAAGGGAAAGGTACCGGAGAAGCCCCGCCCATGCCTGCAACCTGTCAGACACTCTGGCCTCTAATTTTCCAGCTGAGAGGGATTGAAAGGTAAACAGCCAGATAGAGCAGCAGATCCGCACTGCACTGGATGCCCGGCTTCAGGACAGGAAACCTCTGGGAATGAGAGTTCCACGTGGGGTGTCTGCCCAGGGCCATCCAATCCCTGCTCTGTGCCCAGAAATAAAATCAGTATCCCAGCTGCAGCTTGGAAACTGCATGTGTTGTGAGTGGAACTGCTGCATGCTCTTTGGTGGGGGGCCTCTCTTTGTGCAGTGCTTAGCACAACAGTCCTAGGAACTACTGCAATATAAATAATAACTAGCGAAAGAGGTTCAGGAGGGACGGAATTTGGTGTGGCACCAGGGTCTCAGGAACACAAGCTGCGGTCAGGCTGAGGCTACATGCACACAAACATGAGAGACTCAGAGTAAAGCAAAAAGAAAAGGAGTACTTGTGGCACCTTAGAGACTAACCAATTTATAGAGTAAAGCACTGGCCACTCAGCAGGACTCAGCAGGGTCTGTTTCCTACACACATCTCTCTGTTGCTAAAGAAACACCCTGTGATGCTGAAAGGTGCTAATGGTGCCAGATTCTTGCATCCCAAGACAATCACAGCCCTAGGTCAAGCCATTGGCTGCCCCACTCAGCCTCCTTCACGGGCAAGAGGAGGAGCAATTAAACCCCTCGATGTAGTAAAGACAGCTGCAAACAATGGAAGCGACCCCCAAAAGCAGTACTAAGGCTGTCTTTACTGCTAAAAAAGGGTTTCTACAGTGAGTTAGCTAACAACTGGGGAATTAGCTCAAATGGCAGAACACTCACTTGGCACGTGGCATGTGACAGGTAGCGGGACAGATGCCCATTTATTTTATTTTATTTTATTTTTAGATGTGTCAGGATGGCTAAGTGATCCAAGGCACCAATTCTCTTGCCCTGGGTATTCAGGTTGCTGTGTAGAAGCATGGGGTCAAATCTCACTCCTGACACACCTCTTAAAACAGAGCAGTGTGGCCTAGGGGATAAGGGCATTGGCCAGGGGCTCAGGAGAGCTGCGTTCGGTTCTGCTGGGTTACCTTAGGCAAGTTGTTTCCCTGCTCTGTGCCTCAGTTTCTCCATCTGTAAAATAGAGATAATGATAACTACTTGATAAGTTTATGAACAGGAGTATATGACATAGTTCTCTGCAACAGCAGTGACTGAACTTGTTGATCCAGGAGGTCCCTGCCATCCCCATGAATGTTAGTTGTTTTGCTGTAAAACGCTATGGGGACAAGGCTCTGTAACTTTCACTGTAATGCAGATAGGCGACACCAGATTGGGGAGATGGTGTTGCTACATTGGTAAAAACTGGCTATGTCTTGTCTCCACTAGGATTTTACAGCAAGGCAGCAAATGTTCATTAGTTATCCCGCTGTAACACCCCTCCTTTGACTGACAATGAAGACATAGCCTAGGCTGCATGGCAGGTCACAGCCAAGCCAGAGAGCTGAGGGGTTTCCCTGATGGCAGACACAAAGACTAGGAGATTGGATTGCCTGTGTGTGCTGGAGGCAGGAAGCCAGGAGAAGCAGTTGTGAGCATGACCCTGAGAGGAAGCAGAGATGCAGGGCTTCTTGGGCACAGAGCCTGCTGAAGAGGCAGACGTGGGGATTTCGGAGCAGGGAAACCACCTGCTGTTGTTGATTCCTACTCTGTTCAGGGCAACAGGACTTTGTGTGCATTCTTTGTGATTGCAAGATTGCACCAAAGAACAGACCTGGCTTGTATCATCAGTTCCTCTTAATAGAAACAACCCTGCAAGGCCCTAGATTCTAGCAAAACCACACGGGCCAAAGAAGTGACAACTGCAGGGAGCCTCTGCCAAAACAGCCCCAAACTGCACCACCCGACTGCCACATCCTACCCTTTGCAATCCTGTATCTAAGCTAACTCATTTGTAGGGCCCTACCAAATTCACGATCCATATTGGTCAATTTCACGGTCATAGGATTTTAAAAATAATAATTGTCATGATTTCAGATATTTAAATCTGAAATTTAACAGTCTTGTAATTGTAGGGGTACTGACCCAAAAAGGAGTGTGTGTGTGTGTGTGTGTGTGGGGAGGGGAGGGTTGTGGTACTGCTACCCTTACTTCTGTGTTGTTGCTGGTGGCAGCACTACTTTCAGAGCTGGGCATCCAGCCAACAGTGGCCACTCTCCAGCCACCCAGCTCTGAAGGCGTGCAGAAGGGTGGCAATACCGCAACACCCCTAAAATAACTTTGTGACCCCCTGCAACTCCCTCTTGGGTCAGGACCCCCCAACTGAGAAATGTTGGTCTCCCCCATGAAATCTGGTCTTTGGTGTGCTTTTACCCTCTATTATACAGATTTCACGGTCCATGATGCGTTTTTCATGGCCGTGAATTTGATAGGGCCCCAGTCATTTGGCTTGCCCTGCATACAAACACTTTGGTACCGCCCATGGCCTGATCCTATTGGGATCATGGCCTCTTTCTGTGCTGCAAGGCTCCTGGGATGGGCAAGGCAGCCATTGCCATGAGCACAGCTCCTGGCCAGTAAGAAGAGAGCTTAGGGAGCTTGATCCACCCACTTAGTTAGTAAGAGGCTTGGAGTCATCGTGATAGGCCAGAAGCTCTGGCTTTGCCCCTCGCTCGGCAAAGCTCCCTGCTCTCAGATTGGATGTTTGGTGATAGTAACAGGCGGGGGACGAGCTACAATTAGCTGGCGTGACAACAGCTGCTGTGGGTTAAAGGGACAGGGGGCGTGGTGTGGCGTATGTATGGGAGGAATCTGGAGTCACTGCTAGCACCTATTGTGTGTGCTTTGGAGAGACGGACACCGGGTTGTCAGGTAGGACTGTGCGGCAAGGGGGAGCATAGGTTAGTCACACAGAGGCGGGCAGCAGGCAGAGATGCAGCTTGACATTGCTCAGAGCGTTAAAGGTGACCGGTGCTGCTGCATTTCATATGGCTGACAAGACAGTGCAGTCTTGTGCAGCCACCGGCAACAGCCTGTGAAACCAAGAGATCCCCACCAGGAAGGGGGTTTCTGGAAGAGTTGGAAATTCTTCCCCTTTTGTGAATTTGGAGGCTCTGAAATGCAAGTGCTGGGGGCCTGAGCTGCACATTGCCCAAACTTTCCCCTTTGTGCTCTGATGCCCCTCAATCCCAACCTGCGTTGCAATCCTGGACTCCCCTCACGTGCCCTGTTGGTGCTCCTCAGTATCAACCTGCAGCCTCACCTGCTATTCTGGTTCTGGCCTCCTGCCCCTGCCAATGCCCCTCTGTCCTGGCCTGCAGTCTTCAGCTATTCAATTCCTGGCCTCTGCACCCCATATGCAGCTCTGCCAATGCCCCTCTGTCCTGGCCTGCAGCCCCCTGCTATTCCATTTCTGGGGTCTTCACCCCACATGCAGCACTGCCAATGGCCCTCAGTCCCGACCTGCAGGCCCACCTCCTGTTTCCATTATGGATTCCTCCCTCTCAATCCTGATGCGCAGCCTCCCTGCTATCCCTTTCTACAAACATACTTTAAAACAACAAAACCCTGTTCTGCCAGATGACTAGGAACTCCAGAGCAGACAGGGCTGTTTTCTGTCTCTAACGCTATTGCTGGAAGCATTTCCAGGTCTTCTCTTAGCCAGCAACTCATCTTTCCCTTAGCTATAGACCCACATTCAGTGCCCTGCTCTACCACAGGCTCCCTGTGGGACCTTGGGCAAGTTGATTAGGCCCAGATCCTCAAAAGTATTTAGGTGCCTAACTCCCATTGACATCTGTCCTCCATCACTGCACAGGAGTTTGATGCTGCTCATATCTTATAAACCTGTGGACCTCCATGCTACTGGATTTTACTGAAGCAACGAGTAAGATTAAAAGAAAAATGAGTGGGAGACATGAATGACCAGGAGGGGACAGTCAAGAACTATGGGGCTGAGTTCCCTAGCTGAGGCTGGGGCTAGCAGGGGCAGCCTTCAGACAGGTTAATGGGCTTCAGCAAAATCACTTGATTGGCCAGGCCGTTCAATTGGCTGAAAGAAGCCAACAATTCTGCATTTATGCTCAACAACAGCACAGCTTAACACTTATACCTGCAGCTGCAATTGCTCTTGTGCACAGCTCGCCAGGGATATTAGTTGGCGTCTCCTTCATGGAGCTGTGAGCATGGGCATGTACCTGGGATGGTTCACCACCTCCCCCGATACCTGCCCCTTCGGTGGTGAGAGGGAGACCCTGGTGCACATCTACTTTGAGTGCGCCAAGTTGCAGCCCCTTTTCCGGCTCCTCCTGAACCTCCTCCTCAGGTTCTGGCTGCACTTTTCACCACACCTCCTGATCTATCTGTGGCCCCATGAAGTTGCAAGACCTCCTCGTTGACCTCCTTCTGGCATTTGCCACGGTGGCCATTCACCATACCAGGAGGAGGAAGCTGGACGGGGAGGTGCTCTACAACTGTGAGATCTATTTCCGATCCTCCCTTAGGTCACATCTCTGGACAGAGTTCCTCTGGGCCGCATCCACTGGACGCCTCTGAGGAGCAGTAGGCATTGTCCGAGGTTCTCTGCTTAGCGTTCCCCTCTGGATCCCTGCTTTTGACCCTGTGCACCTCATTCTCATTCCTGTTTTTTCATTTGTTGTCCCCTGAATTCAGTTGAGACTTGGGCCTAGTAGCTCCTCCCCATAGGCTGCGGGGAGGGGCCTTTAGATGTGGGCAGGCAGCGCCCCCCAGAGCCTCAATAGGTGCAATTGCTTCTGTGCCTGCTTGCTCCTGCCCTGTTTTGGTCCTCCTCCAGTCCACCTGACCCTGCATCCTTGCCTGGCTTCTGCTCCTGGCTCTGATTATTGGCTTCAGATTCTAGCTCTGACCATTGACTCCGGGTAGTGGCTTCTGATTCTGACATTTGGCTCTGGCTCCTGGTGCCTGTTCCCCAGTCTAACCTCTAGGGTAGACTGTCCACATCCTGGTCCTGACGGGATGGGTTGCCAGCAAGAAAAAAACAATCCAGGCTAAGCAACGTAAGAGTCATGCCCTGTTCCCTTCCCATGATCACTGCACAGGGGCTGGAAACCTCACGCTCTCAATTCACCTCTTTGTAGTCCTGTGACAACTCCAGCCCCAGCAGCATAACATAGGCCTGGTCTACACTACACGGTTAGGTCGATGTAAGCTGCCTTGCATCGACCTAGCTGTGGAAATGTCTTCATTTAAATTTGGCTCACCCCGACGTAAGTGCCTCTCTATGCTGCTTTAGTAACACCACCTCCCCAAGCGGTGGAGAGTCAAGGTCAATGTAATTAGGTCGATGCAGTATCAGTGCAGACTTTCATTGACTGTGACTAACTTTCAGGAGCCATCCCACAATGCTCTGCACTGACAGTACAATTGATACAAGCGCCGTGGTGAGGACGTGCACCGCCAACACAAGTGATTTAATACCTGTGGTGGCTGTATGCAGATGTAAGTTAGGTCGACATAATTTTGTAGAAAGAAAAGGAGTACTTTTGGCACCTTAGAGACTAACCAATTTATTTGAGCATAAGTTTTCGTGAGCTACAGCTCACTTCATCGGATGCATCTGATGAAGTGAGCTGTAGCTCACGAAAGCTTATGCTCAAATAAATTGGTTAGTCTCTAAGGTGCCACAAGTACTCCTTTTCTTTTTGCGAATACAGACTAACACGGCTGTTACTCTGAAACCTGTCATAATTTTGTAGTGTAGACATGGCCATAGGCTAAACATCCAACCCAGATCAGTGCAGGCTCTCTCTGACCCTCCCGCTGCAACCACTGTCAGCTGAGAGTGGCAGGTGCTAATGACCCATGTTCTGTCCCATAGGTCCAGGATCCACAAGAGCCTCTCCTGAAGGAGGAAGTGACTGCAGCTTGAGAGACTTCCTGTGGGAAGAGCTTTGTGTCTCTGGAGCACAAGGATGATGGATCGGTATAAGATCCCACGCACCAAAGAGTTGGAGTTTGGAGGGCCCCTGGGTAAGGCGAGAGGGTGAGGGCGGTTGGAAGGCAGTGGCTCACATACCCTGAAAGGCAGGGCAAACTGGAGCTTTGCTTCAGGGCTGTGCTATGCAGCTACATGGTTAGAGCAGGGTTGGTCTGGGAGTCAGCACTCCTGGGTTCCCAGCTCTACCACTGACTCACTGTGTGATCTTATCTCTCAGGGATGCTGCTGCCTGTCACTCACCCACAGTTCTGATCACCCTGGAGACCTCGTTCCTCTAACCTCTCCTCCCTCCCTCCATAGGAGCCATGATCCTCATCTTTCTCATGCCAGCTACTGTCTTCTATCTTCTGCTGACGTGTCGCACTGAGCAAGCCAGCGTGCTGAACTTCCCGCCCCCGCTGCCACCCCTGAGCACCCTGTGGAGCCCCCACACCTTCCTGCTGCTCCTGGCTTGGGTGGGGCTCCAGGCTGCCCTCTACATGCTGCCTATGGGGAAGGTAATGCTGGGTCAGCCTCATTGGAGCAGAGGGGAGGGCAGGACATCCCCTTCCCTGCTGGGTGCCATCTGCCTAATGGTACCTGTTTGGCTGCCCATGGGGGGTCAAGGGCATATGTGAATTTCCTGGGCCACGGGTTGAGCCAGTTCATGGCCAGCTGGCTACACCATGTAGGCAGAGACCTGCCCAAACTCAGTTCATCTACACAGTTGTGAACTGAGGCTCCAGGGAGGGTATCAATGAGAGGAGTTGGAGTCGAGACCAGAGAGACTAGTGCTAACTGGTTCTGTGGCTTTCCCCCAGGTCACAGAAGGGATCGTCCTTCGAGACAAGAGCCGGCTCCAGTATCGCATTAATGGTGGGTGTTGGGTTTGGTGAGGGAGGAGAGATCGACTATGACCTGCCCCAGAATTTGCAGCCAATCACATCGCTTACGGAATTTTCTCATTGTAACAAGTAATAGTATTGGGGGGGAAGTGCTGTCTATTGGGTCTGAGCAAGGGGCTAGGAGTCAGGACTCCTGGGTTCTATCCCCAGCTCTGCCACAGATTCCCTGTGTTATGTTGGGCAAGTCCCTTCCCCTCTCTGTGCCTCTGTTTCCCAGAATAACAGTGCACTGTGACTCGCGGATCCTCGGCTAAAAAGCCACAAACTGTTGCTTTATCTAAGCAGCCTGTGTCCTGCTTTCCTTCCTCCCGCACCGCAGCTTTCCAAGCGATGGGGGTCACGGCCCTGGTGGTGGGGGCTGGACTGGCAGCCGGGCTGCGCCTCAGCTACATCTATGACCACTTCCTGCAGTTGGCTTTCTCGGCCTTGCTGCTGGCCTTCGGCCTCAGCTTCCTCCTCTACTTCAAGTCTCTCTTTGCCCCAGAGACAACACTGGCGCCAGGTGGGAACTCAGGTGAGTCCTTCCTCAGGTGAGCATGGGACACACAGACACAGGAATGATCTTGTGCATGTAGACACACAGACGTGTGCACATATGCATGTGTGAACACACACAGACGTGTGCACACTGACAATTGTGCATGCACTAACACATAGACACTCTTCGACACACAGGTCACACCTGGTGTGTCACGGAGGGTGCAGGTGGGAGAGCAGCCAGTGATGCCAGTCAGGGTAAAAACCGCCAGGACTCTACGGAGGTATCTGATCAGTTGATGCAGGTCAGAAAGGAACCACCCTTGTTGTAGGCAGTTTAACCTTCCAATGAAGCATCCAGCAACAGCACCCATTGGAAACTAGACACATCCAGATCTAGCACAGCAGGGGTGGGGGATACCAGGTCAGTGGGATGGGCCCCCTGGACTGATCTGGGGTAGCAGGGAGGGGAGCATACCAGACTAGATGGACCCATTGGTCTGATCTGAGGCAGCAGGGGGATACCGGGCTGGACAGGCCTATTGGTCTGATCCAAGGTGGCAGGGAGAGGAAAGGGGAGTAGCTATTCCGCCTTGAGGTGCCTGACTTGCTATTGATCACACAGGGAATCCTATCTATGACTTCTTCATGGGCCATGAGCTGAATCCACGCATTGGCTCCTTCGACCTGAAGTATTTCTGCGAGCTGCGGCCAGGCCTCCTAGGCTGGGTAAGTGGGTGGGATTTTAGGGCTCCCTGCTGCAGAAAGACCTTGGACCCATGGCTATAATGGCCTTGCTAAGGCAAAGGATAATCGGAGAACCTGCGGCAGGAGAACACTAGTCCCGAGGGAAGGGTTGCAAGGGGGAATTTCCCTCCCTCCAGATGGCCATATGTAGCAGATACTATCCACAGCCAGAAATTCCAGCCTAGATAGACCCATTAGTCTGACCAAGCATGGCGGGAGGGGTGAGGAATACCAGACTGGATGGGCCCATTGGTCTGATCTGGGGCAGCAGGGAGTATGGGATGCCAGGCATGGGTGGGCCCATTGGTCTGATGCAGGGGTAGGGGTAAATCAGGCAGGATGGTCTTGCGCAGGGGCTAGATATGCCTTTGGTCAAATTCAGGGGAGCAGGGAGGGGAGGATACCAGGCTAGCCTGCCTCAGTATGTCAGTGAGATATTCGGGGGTCTCACTCAAGGATGCCAATTAGGTAGGGCGGAGGAGGGGCTGCCACACCCCCTTCCCACCCCACCCACAATCCGAGTTTCATACAGGAGGTGTGCTCCCAGGTGGAGCTCTTAACTGCACATCATTAGTGTGGAATGTGAGTTCTGCAGAGAGGTGCTTCTCCCAGCTTGTGTCCCTGGGGCAGGGAGTTAGTGTGTTGTTTCCAAACACAGGCAGGGTGATTGAGATAAGAAAAGGCAAATAATTAAATTAAAGCTCTGGAAGTCCTTAGATGAGCCTGTAAAGCAGGTTTCAGAGGGGTAGCTGTGTTAGTCTACATCAGTAAAAACAAAGAGGAGTCCTTGTGGAACCTTACAGACAATTTATTTGGGCATAAGCTTTCATGGGCTATAACCCACTTCATCAGATGCATGGAGTGGAAAATACAGTAAGCAGGCATAAATATACAGCATATGAAAAGATGGGAGTTGCCTTACCAAGTTGGGGGTCAGTGCTAACTAAGCCAATTCCATTAGGGTGGATATGGCCCATTCCAGCAGTTGACAAGAAGGTGTATCAACAGAGGAAAAATTATTTTTTGTCGTGGCCCAGCCACTCCCAATCTTTAATCAGGCCTAATTTGATGGTGTCAAGTTTGCAAATTAATTCGAGTTCTGCAGGTTCTCGCTGAAGTTTTTTTGTTAAAGAATGGCCACTTTTAAGTCTGTTTATTGAGTGTCCAAGGAGATTGAAGTGCTCTCCTACTGGTTTTTGAATGTTACAATTCTTGATGTCTGATTTGTGTCCATTTATTCTTTTGCATAGAGACTGTCCGGTTTGGCCAGTGTACATGGCACAGGGGCACTGCTGGCACATGATGGCATATATCACATTGGTAGAAGTTTCAGAGTAACAGCCGTGTTAGTCTGTATTCGCAAAAAGAAAAGGAGTACTTGTGGCACCTTAGAGACTAACCAATTTATTTGAGCATGAGCTTTCGTGAGCTACAGCTCACTTCATCGGATGCATACCGTGGAAACTGCAGCAGACTTTATATATACACAGAGAATATGAAACAATACCTCCTTGTTTCATATTCTCTGTGTATATATAAAGTCTGCTGCAGTTTCCACGGTATGCATCCGATGAAGTGAGCTGTAGCTCACGAAAGCTCATGCTCAAATAAATTGGTTAGTCTCTAAGGTGCCACAAGTACTCCTTTTCTTATTGGTAGAAGTGCAGGTGAATGAGCCCTTGATGGTGTGGCTGATGCGGTTGGGTCCTATGATGGTGTCCCTTGAATAGATATGCGGACAGAGTTGGCAACGGGGTTTATTGCAGGTGTTGGTTCCTGGGTTAGTGTTTCTGTTGTGTGGTGTGTAGTTGCTGGTATTTGCTTCAGGTTGGGGGGCTGTCTGTAAGCGAGGACTGGCCTGTCTCCCAAGGTCGGTGAGAGTGAGGGATCATCCTTTGGGATAGGTTGTAGATGTTTTAGTTGGGGATTGTAGGTGATGGCTAGTGGTGTTCTGTTACTTTCTTCATTGGGCTTGTCCTGTAGTAGGTGACTTCTGGGTACCGTTCTAGCTTTATCAGTCTGTTTCTTCACTTCCCCAGGTGGGTACTGTAGTTTTAAGAATGCCTGATAGAAGTCCTATAGGTGTTTTGTCTCTGTCTGAGGGATTGGAGCAAATGCAGTTGTATCTTCGGGCTTGGCTGTAGACAATGGATTGTGTGATGTGGTCTGGATGAAAGCTGGAGACGTGTAGGTAAGTATAGCAGTCAGTAGGTTTCTGGTATAGGGTGGTGTTTAGGTGACCATCGCTTATTAGCACCGTAGTGTCCAGGAAGTGGATCTCTTGTGTGGACTGGTCCAGGCTGAGGTTGATGGTGGGGTGGAAATTGTGGAAATCCAGGTAGAATTCCTCAAGGGCCTCTTTCTCATGGTTCCAGATGATGATGATGTCATCAATGTAGCACAAGTAGAGTAGGGGCGGTAGGGGACAAGAGTTGAGGAAGCGTTCTAAGTCAGCCATAAAAATGTTGGCATACTGTGGGGCCATGCAGGTACCCATAGCAATGCCGCTGACTTGAAGGTATAAATCGTCCCCAAATGTGAAATAGTCATGGTGAGGACAAAGTTCAGCCACCAGGTTTGCCGTGACATTATCGGGGATACTGTTCCTGACGGCATGTAGTCCATCTCTGTGTGGAATGTTGGTGTAGAGGGCTTCTACATCCATAGTGGCCAAGATGGTGTTTTCTGGAAGATCACTGATGGATTGTAGTTTCCTCAGAAAGTAAGTGGTGTCTCGAAGATAGCTGGGAGTGCTGGTAGCATAGGGCCTGAGGAGAGAGTCCACATAGCCAGACAATCCTGCTGTCAGGGTGCCAATGCCTGAGATGATAGGGCGTCCAGGATTCCCAGATTTATGGATGCGGGTGATGGTGGTGGGTGGGCGTTGAAGAGAGAATGCAGGGGACTTGCAAGAAATACAACCAAGCCCTCTGAGCCAAGGTTACATTCAGAAAAGGGGAAGATGTGAGGGGCATAAGTGAAAAGAAGGGGCCAAAACCCTGGGAATGGCTAGCAGTGATATAGAGAAGTTCCCACTCCATCTGTGGTACTTATGTGGCCCCATCACCATAGTATCTGAGTGCCTCACATCACAGCCCCTCGGTGAGGTCGAGCAGTGCTGTTATCCCCATTGTACAGATGGGGGCACTGAGAGACTAACAGCCAGATCTTCAAAGGTATTTAGGCACCTAGTGGGATTTTCAAAAGCGCCTAGAAGGTTAGGTGCTTTGTAAACCCCACTAGGTGCCTAACTGCATCTTTGAGTGCCTAAAAGGCTTTGAAACTCTGTCCCTAAGGCACTGACCTGAGGTCATACAGGAAGTCATGGGCGGGGGAGGAGGGGTGTAGAACCCAGGTCTCTCAGGGCTAGCTCCCTAACCACTGGACCAGCCTTTCTCTCTGCTGCATGCTGCAAAAAAGAGGCCTCTGATGCATGGGAGCAAAACCAAGAAGGCCGGTTTGCTGAGACCCCTGCAATTGGTCCCAGGGGATTGGGAAGAATGTCATAGCTGACAGTATGAAAAGCAGCACAGAAGTCAGGAAGGATGAAGAAAGAAAGAGGATGAGAGGAGAGCACTTAACTGCCAATGGCTGGCAGGTTCTGCCCCAAGCTGAGTTGTACAGCAATGCCTGCTATGCAATTTTAGGGCCTGTCTACAGTGGCACTTGACTGCGCTGCAAATTTCTCGCTCAGGGGTGTGAAAAAACACCCCCCGGAGCGCTGCAAGTTTCAGCGCTGTAACGTGCCAGTGTAGACAGCGCACCAGTGCTGGGAACTGTTCCCCTCCTGGAGGTCGGTTTCTTATGACGCTGGGAGAGCTCTCTCCCAGAGCTATGCTGCGATTACACAGCCATGTTAGAGCGCTGGCTGCAGCAGTGCTCTAAACGTTGCTAGTGAAGACATGCCCGTAGATGTTAACTGAAAACCACTTTTTGTTCTGAATTTGAAAAAAGGAAGAAATGAGGAAGCGTTGTATGAGTATCAGATGTGATTATACATCAGATTCGTAGGGTTTCAGCTGTATTCAGGCCAATTCCAGAACAAAACAGAAATTGCATCCACAGAGTCCATAAAGTCGATGATTATTGTCATGATTTGTGTTATTCACTGGGCACCATCTGTGTGCCCAGCACTGTTCAGAATATGCCAGAAAATTTAGTCCCTGAGCCAATGCGTATAAGGTGTGTAACTCTGGATAAGATGGCTCTGATACTTAAGTATGAAGTGCATAGTTATTGACCTCACGTGTTCACTGGGATGTTTATATCTATGAGTGGAGGCGCTGATGACAATATAAGTCTTACTTGATAAAAGACTAGAAGATTTGCCCCTCCAACTTTCTTTCAAGAGGAAGAGCTTCCCAGAGGAAGAGCTGTACCTTTTTATTTTCCTTTCCTGCCTGCAGTCGCCCTGATATACCTCAGAAATCTCAATTTTCCCCTCAACTTTAAAATGTGGAATTTTCTTGGTGTTTGATTTAAAATATTATCCGGTGAAAACAGCAACTCAATCACTGTAGTGTTATGTTTAAGACCCTTCTGGAAAGTAACTAGCCTTTAAACAGAAGTGAAAGCAGTGTTGCCAACTCTCATGATTTTGTCATGAGTCTCATGATAATTAGTGTTTTCCTTAAAGCCCCAGCTCCTGGAGTCAAGTGATTTGTGATGATTTCAGCCTTCATTCTTACAAGTTTCTAGTTCTTGTGGCTGTGGAGAAAGCTCCAAAATGTGACCCCAGTACACCTTAAAGGCTCAAAAAGCAGAATATACATTAACCCCCCCCCCCCCCCCACCAAATCAATTATTTTTACATAATCTCATTATTTTAAAGCCCATCTCATGATTGTTGGTGAGCCTGATTCTTGATTTTTTTTGAACATTTAGGGTTGGCAATACTATGAAAGTGACTTGAATGTGTCAGTTTCACTACTGCTTCAAGTCATTTTTTTGTCTATTATTTGTAGTGGGGTAACACCCCTAGAGCCCCCGTCAGGTGCAGTTTAAACTCATGGTGGTCTTACCCGAATAGGATGTTTCCAAAAGTTAAATGATCTATTCCAAGCTTGATGAACTGCAAAAAAGTAATAGAAAGTAATGTAGATTACTTTTTACAGTTGTTTCAATTTTTGTATTCAAGAGTTTAGTTACAAATTAAGAATATACAGTAAAATTTTAAACCTAACCAGTGTCCCTTCAGTGACTTGACACAAGATGTCAGACCATGTTAGTATTAGAGCTGAGTGGGTCTAATATTTATTTAATTTTTTTTCTTTATATAGGAATTAAAAATTATTATTTGACAGGAGCACTGTATATAAGTTATTATCTGCAAAAAAACCCCAAGAGTTTTTAGGTGCTCAAGTGGCCTCTGGAATCATGGTTAAATTTGCCCCTTCCCAAAATCTGAAATGGTACTCCTGGCCCACTCAGCAATCAGGTGTTTTTCTCTGGGCAGACAGGGTGCTGGGGGCAAGGGAAGGAGCAGGGAGGGAGGTCTTCCCTCCTGCCAGGATCTGATTTCTCCCCTCCTGCCAGGCACTGGTGAACATGGCCATGCTGGTGAAAGAGACTGAGCTGCGGGGAAGCCCCTCGCTGGCCATGCTCCTGGTCAATGCCTTCCAGCTGCTGTATGTGGTGGATGCACTTTGGAATGAGGTGAGTCATGCCCACATCCCTGACTTAGCCTTGGCTTGGGATCTGCACTGGCCTAGGGGCTACAAAGGGAACCTTAGGGGAGGCCTCCTGGGTTCCCTTCCCATGTCTGGGAGGAGTGTGGAGTCCAGTGGTTCGAATGGGGGGGGCTGGGATTGAGGACCCAGCTCTGAGAAGGGAGTGGGGATTGGTGATTTAAAGCACAGATGTGGCCAGGGTGGATTGATTTAAATCAAAGCAATTTAAATAATTGATTGTAGTCAAGTTTTGCATTTGTACTTCATAGTTATTTTCCTAACAAAAGGTTGATTCTCACTGGTGGGTAATTATTAAAACATGTTAACTTGCAACCAAACATGTACCGAATTTAGTATAAAGTCAGGATTTCTTTTTGTTAACCAGGAGGACACAATATATCTATACACATTTATTTGAGCAATTATATAGCTTACTTTACATGTATTCTGATTCTTAATTTTTACATTTTTATTATGTTAGAAAATGATGAATGTTGTATTTATTTACAGTATGATGATTAATGTTTTACTTGCAATTTGTGTCCAGCTCTATTTGTATGGAAATTTAAAATTCAATAAAAAATCTCCAGAAACAGCATGTTAGGAGTTTTAATAAAATAAAACTATTTTGTGTGTTAATACACTTTTAAAACTGATTGTATTAAACAAAGGAAGTAGTATCTGTAGTTAGTGAATTCAACTGATTGTTTCTGGTCACCATGTCATTCAAGATTTTAGAACTAGTAGATCTCTTCCTCTCACACATAGTTTTTCTTCATAGATTGGAATAGAAAAACCAACTTTCCTGTCTGTTCAACTCCCAATTGATTTCTTAACTTTGAAGGAACTAGTCACTGAACTGATTTAGTTGAATAAAAGGAAATGAAATGGAAAATATTCTCTCTACACCTTCAGAAGAGACTACTACCAATAGTTGAAAGGTGGTTTAGCGCTTCAACAAACTCTGATTCCAGGTGCCTAGCCAGTGATGTCAAGCAGTTCCACGTGTTCACTTTCTTTAAACTTGGCAGCAAACGTGTCCTGCCTAATATTGGGTGGGTTTTTTGTATTTAAATGATTTAATAGATTATAGCATGGTTAGGCGTTAGCATAGGTTGTCTGTTTCAAATTTAATTTTAAATAGATTTAGGGTTTTTTAAATATTTAAATTTTTTTAGCATTGACTTTTATCCATGCTGGATGTGGCTCCTCTGTGTCCTGCAGGAGGCCATCCTCACCACCATGGACATCGTACACGATGGATTTGGCTTCATGTTGACCTTTGGGGACCTGGCCTGGGTGCCGTTCATCTACAGCCTGCAGGCCTACTTCCTGGTCAACCACCCACAGAAGCTGAGCCTGCCCATGGCTGCCGGGATCCTCTTGCTCAATGGTGAGGCTCAGGTGATTCCCTCTCACACAGCAGACCAATAGGCCCATTCAGTCCCATATCTCTCCTCTCCCCCGTCCTGGATCAGACCAATGGACCCATCTAGCCAAGACCAATATGTGTAGTATCCCTCCCACTTTACCCCATGACCCCATCTATCAGAGTATCTCTTACCCTCACCCCCACCCTCCCTGCCTCACCAACCCTACAACGCACCTTACTGTACAATGGGGTGAAATCCCTTCCTGACCAGCCCCAAGCCACACCCTGAAGCCTGAGGATCGAAAGCCCTGCTCAATGTCACCCCCTGAGCCAGCATCCACCAGCATTGTCACTCATCCCTTTGTCCTCTCCAGAGAGATCTGTTTCCATACCAATCCATGGCAGAAGTGCCAGTATCCCCATGCCTAGAGCTCCCACAGCCTATCCTCACTCTGGTTCTCTTCTTGGCAGGTGTGGGCTACTGCATCTTCCGCAGCGCCAATTCCCAGAAGAACACTTTCCGCAGGAACCCCAATGACCCCAGAGTAACTGGTGAGCTGCAACCATATCTTGGACAGGAGTTATATGGGGGACATGGAGTGAAGGAATCTGGAGTGGGAGAAGAAAGGAATGCTAATGGAGGGTTAGGTAATGGGAGGGAGGTAGAAAATGGATGCTATGTGGGTAATGCTCTTCTCCTCCTCCCAGGTCTCAAAACCATCCCCACAGCCACGGGCCGGCGTCTCCTGGTGTCTGGGTGGTGGGGGTTTGTGCGCCACCCCAACTACCTGGGGGATCTCATCATGGCTCTGGCCTGGTCTCTGCCCTGTGGTGAGTCTAAATCCCTGCCTGGAGGGGGCCAGTGGAAAGGCTAGCAAGGAGGTGGTGTTGTCTCCTTCTCCTGCCCCAGCATTGGTGTCCCACTGGGACCTGTGCCTTTAGGGCATGCAGGACATACCCCTATTGCCCCTCTGCAATGGAGGCAGGGCAGCATCTCTTTAGCCCTCAGGGCAGTGGTGTCTGCCTTGGGGCACCCACTGTGTCTTCCATGAGCTACACAGAGGGTGCCTGCTCTGGCCCAACCTCCCAGCCATGTCCCAAGCAGATGAAACCAATATGCTACTCCAGCCACAGGTCACGTAGAAGGCGCCTGGTCTGGTTGGCCTGAAGTCCCAGGTGGAAGGCGCTAGTCGCACCTTCAAAGTGATGCCATCACTTTGATTATTAACGTGGGAGTGGGGAGGAATCTATGCCCCTAGACAAGCTTGCTCAGCGCTCAGGCTATCCACGAGAACAATTGTTCTCAACCTATTTACCATTGTGGGCCACATATGCAGCTCTCTCTGTTATGTGGGCTGCATCCACACAATATATATACTACCTGTAATGCCCTGAGGATGTCACATGGGCCACAGCTGTGTGCTGATTAGGCCACAAGCAGCCCATGGGTTGCGAACCATTGCACAAGAAGGTCCTAGAGGAAGGGCCCATGGCCTCCTCTTCTCATGGCCCATGTCTCTCCCACCTCCTCAGGCCTGACACACGTCCTGCCCTACTTCTACGTCTTCTACTTCACTGTGCTGCTGATTCATCGGGAGGCCCGGGATGAGCACCAGTGCCTGCGGAAGTACGGGCTCGCCTGGCAGGAGTACTGCCAGCGAGTCCCCTACAGGATCTTCCCTTACCTTTACTGAGACGCATCCCAGCACATCATGCCCCATGCAGACCCAAGCACAACAGCTTACATCTGCCCACCTCTGCTCCTAAGGCTGGTAGGACGCTAGCCTCTGTCCTTACCACTGGGGCACGTTGTCATCCTCTACCGCATCTTTGCTGTGACACTGTCCATGCCGAGTCAGTGCCAAACACCCACTCAACCAGTCCCCAAAGGGAATGAAGTCCATCTCCCTGGAAGTGCAGGATTGTTCCCTCCAGTGTATTCCATGGAGCTATGCACTGTCTAGCTTTAAATGGTTCATACAATGCAGCTCGCAACTGGTCCCGGAGGGAGAGAAGATCATCTCATAATGGAGCTTTCTTGTTCGTTATGGAGTAAATCCAGACCCCAGAGCAAGTGGGGAGACTCTTCCTCCTTCTGAACATCCACAGTTGAAGTTGCTTTGACCAGCTGTGTCCTAAACGCCATCAGCCCTATCTGCACACTAATGCTCGCTTACCATCACTGCTGCCCAAAGGCAGCTTGGGGCTACGCCGAGCTTTGCCACTGAACACTAAAGAGGAACTGCGACCAAATCAAGGCAAATGGCAGTACCTAGGTGACAAGATGCTGCCCCCATGGAACTATAGATTTTGTTTGTGGAGCTGCCTGAATTCACAGGAAGTGGATGGCTCATGGAAGCTGAACTCCTTATGTCTTAGAGAAGCTGCCACTCCACCCACCTTGTGCCTATAGTGAAATAGAAAGCCATTGTGCCACAGAGTGGGTGCAGAAATTGAACAGACTCAAGGTGCTTTGCAAACTGCTATGTGTGATTAGCAGGCGATGGTACTCTCTCCATCCTGGAGTCTAGAGAGACTCACACAACAAAGTTGGGTAAACACATGGAAAGTTGTCCACACTCATGGCCTTACACCAGAGGTGGGCAAACTTTCAAGGTACAGGAGGGGGCTCCGGGTTGGGGCAGAGCCTTGGGGTGCAGGTCCAGTTGGAGGTGTGGGCTCTGGGGTGGGGCTGGGGATGAGGGGTTTGGTGTGTAGAAGGGTGTTCCAGGCTGGGACCGAGGGGTTTGGAGGGTGGGAGGGGACTCCAGGCTGGGGCAGGGGATTGGGACACCGGGGGAGGGGGGGAAGGGCTCTGACTGGTGGGGCAGGCTCTGGGGTGGGGCTGGGGCTGGGGATAAGGGGTTTGGGGTGCAGAATGTTGGGAATCCTTAAGAAAGGGATGATAATAAGACAGAAAATATCATATTGCCTATATATAAATCTATGGTACATCCACATCTTGAATACTGCAGATGTGGTCGCCCCATCTCAAAAAAGATATATAGGAACTGGTAAAGGTTCAGAAGAGGTCTAAAAAATCATGACTGGTATGGAGAAAGTGAATAAAGAAGTGTTATTTATTCCTTCTCATAACACAAGAACTAGGGGTCACCAAATGAAATTAATAGGCAGCAGGCTTAAAACAAACAAAAGGAAGTATTTTTTTCACACAGTCAACCTGTGGAACTCCTTGCCAGAGGATGTTCTGAAAGTGAAGACTATAACAAGGTTCAAAAAAGAACTAGATAAGCTCCTGGAGGATAGGTCCATCAGTGGCTATGAGCCAGTATGGGCAGGGATGGTGTCCCAAGTCTCTGTTTGCTAGAAGCTGGGAATGGGTGACAGGGGATGGATCATTTGATGATTACCAGTTCTGTTCATTCCCTCTGTGGCATCTGGCATTGGCCACTGTTGGAAGACAGGATACTGGGCTAGATGGACCTTTGGTCTGACCCACTATGGCCATTCTTATGTACAACAAAACCCACAATGTTTTCATAACAGCACTAGATGTCTGAGCTGCATTCCTCTGTGCTTCACTCGAGCTTAAAGCATTGCCTTCCATGAGGGACCACAGTGGAGCTTACTGCATGATTGGTAAGGCTTTAATGAAAGGGTCTAACAATATCACATCCACTACAGTTGGCTGCAAGCTCATGGTAGGCTTCACCCTGGACATCTGAGAATGGAGCGTGCCTGAATTCTCCTCTGCTGCTTGTAAGGAGGTGACAGCAGAAAGGTCAGCCCAACAGATGCATGGGTCATGATGAGATGGAGGGTTTGTCTTCACTGCAACAGTTAGCTCAAGTGAGTACACTGGAGTTACTCTCACTTGAGCTCGGCTAGAGTATGTCTACACTCCAATCAAATGTGTGAGTGCAGCCTAGACTGGTATAGCCACACTACCTTTACTCTAGCTAACATGGCTAAAAATAGTGCTGTGGATGTGCGGGCTTATACAGCACATGCTGCTGCATCGTCACTATCCTCAGCCATGCTAGCTAGAGTAAAGCTAGGGCAGGTGTGCCCACCCAAGCTGCAGTCATGCCTCAGACAGCAGCGTAAACATACACTGAGAGCAGCATGAGAGCACCTGCACTGTGAAACAATACTGGAGCTGTACAGGGTGATTGGATTAGCAGTTGATGTGCTGCTGTAACTCAAGAAGCTGCATTACTAGCTTGAGTGGCAGCAGCACTCCTGCTTCAGCTTCCAACCCCGTCCAGGCCAGCTAGCTTGATTTTAAAGCACCACTTAACTCATGCTAGAAATGTGTGCGTGGACAGGAGTCAGGTTAGGAGCAAAACTTGACTTAAACCTTGAGCTAACACCAGAAAGAAGACAAGCCCCAAAGAGAGAGAATCACAGCTGGGAGTCTGTTTTGGCTTGAAGTGGAATACAAGTTTGGTTTGCTGTGTCTGTAAGGGCCTGATTAATTTTAAGGACTGGGGAAATTCCCTTTTGGGGAACACTGGAGTGTGGCTTTGGATAATGCACTGACGTGACAATGATTTTATTAAATGCAGTCTCCATCTGGGTTCAAAGTCAATTGTTTGCAATGCTTTTGAGGGCTCGATGAGCAAACTGTCAGATCTTAAACACATGGATATAAACTGGCCATCAGGAAGTTTAGACTTGAAATTAGATGAAGGTTTCTAACCATCAGAGGAGTGAAGTTCTGGAACAGCCTTCCAAGGGAAGCAGTGGGGGGCAAAAGACATATCTGGCTTCAAGACTAAGCGTGATAAATTTATGGAAGAGATGATATGATGGGATAGCCTAATTCTGGCAATTAATTGATCTTCAACTATGAGCAGTAGATATGCCCAATGACCTGTGATGGGATGTTAGATGGGGTGGGATCTGAGTTACTACAGAGAATTCTTTCCCGGGTGTCTGGCTGGTGAGTCTTGCCCCACATTCTCAGGGTTTAGCTGATCGCCATATTTGGGGTCGGGAAATAATTTTCCTCCAGGACAGATTGGCAGAGGCTCTGGGGGTTTTTCGCCTTCCTCTGAAGCGTGGGGCACGGGTCACTTGCTGAAGGATTCTCTGCACCTCAAAGTCTTTCAACCACGATTTGAGGACTTCAATAGCTCAGACATAGGTGAGAGGTTTGTTACAGGAGTGAATGGGTGAGATTCTGTGGCCTGCGTTGTACAGGAGGTCAAACTAGACTATCATAATGGTCCCTTCCGACCTTAAAGTCTATTATATGATTCTAGGAAACAATCAACCAAATAGGCAACACTCCATTCAGGGGGAGTCTGCTCCAAAACCTCCCTCCCCTGATGGGTAGAAATCTTCTTCTCATTTCCAGCCTCAGTTGATTTCTTGACATTTTATCCCTACTTGTCCTTGTGCCAACATTGTTCTTTAGCTTCAATAGCTCTTCTCCCTCCCATGATTTATCCCCTTTGTGCATTTATAGAGCATGATTAGATTCCCCTCTCACCCTTTAATGGCCAGGCTAAACAAACCTACTCTTTCAGTCTCCTCTCATAAGGTTGCTTCTCTACTCCCCTCATTGGCCTAGGAGCTCTTTTCTGCGCCTGGGGCTGTTTGAGTAGCTGATAGATGGGGCTTTTCAGTCTAGCAGAGGATGGCACAGCAAGATCCAATAGCTGGAAGTTGAAGTTAGACAAATGTAATCTTGAAATAAAGCAATTTCCTAGCAGGGAAGGTGAGTAAACACTGGAACAGCTCACCAGGGGAGGGTGGGTTGGCCACCACCTGGAGTCTTTAAAGCAAAACTAGATCTCTTTCTAAAACACATGCTTTAATCTAGCTTCTGGGGAAAATTCTACAGCCCATCTGTGGGGGATGGGGAAAAACAAACTGGATGATCACAATGGTCCCTTTAGGCCTTAGGTCTATGACAGGCCCACAGGGCTTAATCATGTACCAACATAAAAGGGCACATCTACATCGTAGTCTCAACTAAGTGTTTGTGGGGTATGGGACATTCAGAAAGGCCGCAGGCTCTGAAGCCAAGGAAGAGTCAGCAGCAGTCAGGAAAACCCTGCAGACTGATACAGAATGGTGTCTGCATGGAACATGTTATTCTGATTCCCTGAAGGCCTATAGCCAAGGATTAGATGTTTATGGCCATGTGGCTTAGAGGATAGAGCACTGGGACTCAGCAGACTGGGGTTCTATTCCCAGCTCTCAGAGTAACAGCCGTGTTAGTCTGCCACTGGCCTGCTGGATGACCTTCAGTAACTCATTTCCCTCCGTGTAGCCTAAGGTACATACATCTACACTTTGATTAAAAAACCAACATGGCACAGTGTCTTAGGTCAGCTGACTCAGATTCGGGGGGCTTATGCTGCAGGGCAATAAAGTTGCAGTGTAGACTCTTGGGCTGGAGCCCGGGGAACTGAGATCCCAGTGAGCAGGGAGAGTCTCAGAGTCCAGCCCCAGCCTGAACATCTGCATTGCAATTTTATAGCTCCACAGCCCCAGCCCATGTCAGGTGACCTGGCCAGCTGCAGCTGGGCCACAGATCTTTTATAAAAGCATAGATGTACACTTGGATACTGATATGGCCCCAAACACAGTGGTATCCAAGGACCTTACAACATTTTAATGTATTTATCCTCATAACATCCCAATGTGGTAGGGCAGTGCTATTATCCCTATTGTACTGATGAAGAAACTGAGGCAGAGAAAGGCTAAGCGGCTTTCTCAAGGTCACATAGGAAGTCTATGTCAGAGCAGGGAGTTAAACCCAGTAAACTCAGTAAAATTGAGTCATAAGCTAGTGCCCAAATGGAGTTCTCAGATCATAGGGCCACACTCCACCCAGGATAGGTTAATGCTAGTTAGAAGTTTACACCCTAACCCTTCTTTGGCTGGGCAAAGGAATTTGAGGTAGGAGGTGGGTTGCGGTCAATTGGATACCATTATAAGAGCTAGGTATTATTTTAAATTCATACATATTCTATTGGATTAAGCCCCAGAGCTTTCATGACTTCTCCCTTCCCCATTGATTCTCCCTCACTCAACGAACCCACCACAAATAAAATGCCCAATGGTTCTCAATCCGTAGCTGGCTCTCAGCCCCAAGCAAAAGAACAGACAGGCTGTGCAGCATGCCCTGAAGGGCTACAAATTCAGCCTCTCTCACACCAAAACCTTAGGGTATCATTCTATGAAGCCTTCCACCCATCACCAGCCCCATAGGACAGAGTGTAAGACTAAGGTGTTCTAACTAATCACACCAAACCAATGGGACTTAGGGACACCAATAGCTTTCCAAAAATATTTAGGGGACAACATCCCTCTCTTTGAGACACCATGAAATTCACCTGTGACACCCTAGGGCAGTTTGGAAATGGGCCTATTTTCCAACAATCCTGCAAACCTTTAATCAAAGTCCCATGCTGTGCATTTTGTGTCACTGATAAAATGAAACACACCTTTTGCAGACAACATATTGTTAGACTGTGGAAGTCACTGCCACAGGAAGTCATTGAGGTGAAGAATTCAGCAAGATTAAAAAAGGAATAAACTATTTATATGAATATCAAGAATACCCAGTTATCATAATTCAAAACAACATTATGGAAGGAATATTAAACCTTGCTATTTAGGTCTTAAAGGCAGTCTAACTCCTACAGAGCAGCAAGGGCAGATTACACTACATCTGCCTACTGTGGGGTTTTTACACTTTCCCCTGAAGCATCTGGAGCAGTGTCACAGATAGGATACTGAACTAGATGGACCATGAGTCTCATCCAGGCCAGCAATTCTTACATTCCTGCCACAGTGATCAGTTACAATAGCTTAGAGAGCTAAATAAATATTAACTAGATAAGACTACATACATTAAAATATCAGATCTTAAAAATACCTGATACTCATTCGCTCTCTTTCCTGCCACTGTCTCTCACTCTCTCCTGAGCTGTGAATGGGTCCGGCCTCTCTCTCAACAGGAGCTTTTTTACTTATTTCAGCTGAAGCTCCTGTCTAATGATGCAGAGTAGGACTTGGGGGAATACATCTCCCATATTAATGCACAGGAAAGAAAGGACTTTTCGTGGTCTGTTATTGCTCTTGAGTGGTTTATAACAGCTGTCAGCACTGATGTAAGGATGCAGAGTATGTTTGTCCTTGCAATGCTAGTTTTCTAGTTTACAGCAACTCTAGCTATGGTGGTGTCTAGCTATCCTTTTATTGATGATTTCTGCAAAAAATCTATACTTGGTAGGATACAAAACACATAGTATGGGACTCTGTGACCAGCTAGAGGTTTCTGCAGCACCAGTGGGAAACACACCAACTTTAAAACCAACAAAGTAACAGCCAAAGCTTTAAGCGCATGGAACACACCAAGGGTCCTGCTGAATGGAAGACAGGAATGCACACAGCCAGCTGCTTTGCTCTTTTTATTGCAACAGGTCAACTCCCTAGAAACCAGATCAACATTTGTGCCAAGACTCAGTGTGGTGGATTTATCTAAAATAGCTATTCACCAAGAGAGGGTTCATTCAGTTTTTCCCACTTAAAAAAATAATCTGGTCTCTAAATGGGTCCAATTCCACTCAAATCCCCCAATGTTTTAAGTGTGGAAGGTTTTAGGGATGACTAAGTTCCAGCCATCAGTCCAACTCCTCGATCAATGGCTTTTTTGCAGGGGGCAGTTTCCCACCCCACATCTTCTGCAGTTCTTTGGTAACTACATCTACTTCTTTGACTGCCTCCAAATGGGTTTTATATTCCCTTTGCACCTCTAGGGCCAGGACAGTCAAAGATTCCTGGTTCTCATTGACCCAGGAGAGCAGAAAATCACACTTCTTCTTGGCGCCATACACCCTGGGCCGTTTCTCTGTTGGCACCAGTTTCTTGGCCTTGCCCAGCAGCCTGGCAAGATGGGAGAGGGCTGCCAGGCTGTAGCCTTTCTGCATGGCTTGATTCTCCCCCATCAGGATCTGGGCCACTGCCATCATAGCACCTGCATTCCCCAGGGGGCACTCAGGGTACCGGCTGGCTGTCACTGCCTGGAGGGAAGCCTGCAGCGCCTCTGCTGTGGAGTGGAAGACCTGCTTGGCACCCAATGCCCCAGCGACATCCAGGACCATGTCAGAGAACTCAGGCAGCAGCTCATCTTCACTCAAGTCCCCATTGTAGAGGGTGAGGGCGAAGACGTAGGCATAAAGGACATTAGGCAGCTGGAAACACACCAGGGGTGAGGCTGGGCTGCAGGTCAGGGAGCTCAGTGGTGGAACGGATGCAGGCACAGCAGGAACTGGGCTTGGCATTTCTTCAGGTTGCTGGGTGGGTGCCATACTTGAGCTCGCCTGTGGCTGCTGGGTGCCCATGGGGGGGGAAGCACCTTGGGGTACCAGTGGCTGGTGGATGGGTGCCGAGCTTGGGGTCTTCTTCTCTGGCTTCTGGACAGCAGGGGGTTGGGCACCCTCAGCACCCCCCAGCTCCTGGACCAGCCCCCGGCCCCATCCCCACCACCAGGGCCTCCACGGGGGCAGAAAGGCTCCAATCTCCCCGCTGCTTAGCAGGCGCTGAAAGGCGGCCTTTTCGGCCGGACTGAGCCGCTCCCACAGACCGTCGTCCTGGTCCTCAGGGTCGCGGTCTAGCTGGGGCTCCGCATCCCCGAGCTCGCGTAGCTCCCGCAGCCGGAGCAGGGCTTCTTTCAGGCGGGTTCGGGAGGCCGGGTCCCCCCGCTGGCCCTGGAGCCGGAGCAGCAGCTGCCGGCGGTGGAAAGCCTCGGCGCAGGCCCCGTGGCCTTGGTAACAGGGCACCGAACAGAAACGCACGTTACAGCGGGGGCACGTGTAGGCGGCCCGCTCCCGCAGACACAGGCCGCAGGGCTCAGCCGCCTCCATCTTGGCAGCGCTCGGACATTTCCGCCACCGCTCGGGCATTTCCGCCTTCACTTCAGAGGCGCTCGAGGGGGTTCGCAACCGCCACTGTGTGGTTCGGCTCGGAAGCGCTCGTACAACTTCGAAGAATTCCGCCCTAGATTCGGAAACGCTCGGGCGTTTCGCCTCTCAGCTTCGGAACTTCCCCCCCCCGTTCGGCTATTTCCGGCGACCCCGGCGTAGGGTCACGCTGTTTCAGGGTATGACAGTCGGCGGCATTGTGGCCGCCCCTGCCCTTACAAGGCTGGTACCTATATCTGAATAGTCACAGCGTTAATCACCCGCGTCACTACTACAGCTGCCAGGAAAAAAAAAAAAGAAAAGGAGTACTTGTGGCACCTTAGAGACTAACCAATTTATTTGAGCATGAGCTTTCGTGAGCTACAGCTCACTTCATCGGATGCATACCGTGGAAACTGCAGCAGACTTTATATACACACAGAGAATATGAAACAATACCTCCTCCCACCCCACTGTCCTGCTGGTAATAGCTTATCTAAAGTGATCATCAGGTTGGGCCATTTCCAGCACAAATCCAGGTTTTCTCACCCTCCACCCCCCCACACAAATTCACTCTCCTGCTGGTGATAGCCCATCCAAAGTGACAACTCTTTACACAATGTGCATGATAATCAAGTTGGGCCATTTCCTGTACAAATCCAGGTTCTCTCACCCCCCTCCCAAAAACCACACACACAAACTCACTATCCTGCTGGTAATAGCTCATCCAAAGTGACCATTCTCCCTACAATGTACATCACTTTGGATGGGCTATCACCAGCAGGAGAGTGAATTTGTGTGGGGGGGTGGAGGGTGAGAAAACCTGGATTTGTGCTGGAAATGGCCCAACCTGATGATCACTTTAGATAAGCTATTACCAGCAGGACAGTGGGGTGGGAGGAGGTATTGTTTCATATTCTCTGTGTGTATATAAAGTCTGCTGCAGTTTCCACGGTATGCATCCGATGAAGTGAGCTGTAGCTCACGAAAGCTCATGCTCAAATAAATTGGTTAGTCTCTAAGGTGCCACAAGTACTCCTTTTCTTTTTGCGAATACAGACTAACACGGCTATTACTCAGGAAAAAAAAATATGCCTGCTCCACACTCAGGCAGCTGCAGCAAAACTGCATCAGGTTCTTGCAGAATAAAGTTCCATGGAAGTCTGTACATTTCCTTCTTCCCAGAATTAGATCCAGCAATACCAAAAGCAGCAGCATGGCCACACAGCATCATCACTGAAAAGGCAGGTGGAGTAACGCTCGGCCCTTTTGTCCCAGCACTTCTCAAATGCTGACACATTAAGCCATAACTGCCTTGGAAGTATCATCTCTATATTACAGATGGAGAAACTGGTGCACAGAAGCACACAGACTTGAGCTATCCGAAGTGATCAGCACTAGAGCCCTGCTCATGTCTTCCATGCTTTAGTCTAAATGAAGTGGAGAACAGGACTGAGCTAGTGCACAGCTCAGAGCACACGATCAGTCTTTTTGTTCTTTGTTTCTACTAATCTGTTTAAGCTGAGGATAAACAGTTGCCTGCTCATCATAGCTACAGCTTCCAGAAGGGTTTCTCCCCACCCCCCCCCACTAGATTTTGGGCACCAAAATGAGAAGCCCCAGGGAGACATACTGGGAGTGTTCAAAATTCAGCCCATAGAGAGACAAAATCAGAACTCATTCCCCTGCCTGCTTGCAGTGCCAGTAATGAAGGTTGCCTACAGGACATGGAATGTACAGAGGCTTCAGTGAACATGCAGTGGTATGTAAACTCAGAGTGAAGACCACAGGTAGGGCAACCTATGGGTCATCCCCAGTTGTCCTAGCTCCTTCTCAACTTCTCTTTCTCAGTCTCTCACAGCTGGTTCCCTCCCTTGAAGTGCCCCAGAGGAATCTGAAGCACAAGCAGGCAGGAGTGGTTGAGAGTGGCTGGGACTCAAGGGCATCTTGAACAAAGCCAGCTCACATGCAAGTGGAGGGAGAAGAGAATGCCTCCCCTCCCTCCCCCCCAGACCCCGAGAATGAAAGCAGCCACAAGACAGCACGCTTGGGTGACATCTGCTTTATTGGGTGAGGTGTGTCATTTAGGAGTTAGCATTGGGGCCCTTCTTCTTGCCAAAGCCTGGCACGATATTGACAAAACGCCGGTTGTACTGCATGCGTCTCTTGGCACGGCCAGTCTTCTTCTTCTTCTTCTCTTGCTTGGCAACCTTTGAGGGAGAGAGCACAGTTAGCTTAGCAACATGCCAAGAGGGGGCACTCCCATTCTAGACCCAGGACTCCTGGCTCCTAGTCCCACTGTGTGAACCACAAGGCTGTGGTGGTCTCAAAGTGTTTACTGATAAAGTGCAACAAACCCTCAAAGTCTGCAGCAGGTGAAACAGCTCCCCCCCACTACCACCCTTCGGTGAGGTTACATCAATGCACCAAAAGAATCACTTACCTTGGGAGTCTGGCCTCTCACCTTCCCAGCACGAGCCAGGGAGCCATGGACCTTACCTGGGGAGAGAAATCAGGAGAGCTGCACTCAGCACCACAGGACACTGGGTAATATGTACAGTGTGGCTGGGACAGTTGCCCTGGTGGCCAGATTCATCTCAACTTTGTTATTCCAGGGCCTGCACTTTATTCACCAGTCCTTTAAGTTAACCCATGTGTCACCAGTGCCCTGGTAACTGGTTCCTGAACCTCCTTTGTAAAAGAGACATGGGTGACTGGGGGCCTCTAAGGGTAGGTCTACAATAGAAGACTAAGACCATGGCTGGCCCAGATCAGCTGACCTATTCTCACAGGGCTACAGAACTTCAGCGTAGACTTTCTGGCTCAGGCTGGAGCTTAGGCTCTGAGATCATGTGAACAGGGAGTCTCAGAGCTCTGGCTCCAGCCAGAACATCTACACTGCTATTTTTAGCCCCACAGCCTGAGTCAGCTGATCAATGCTCAGACTGTGCTGTGGGTATTGTTGTTTGGGAGGGTTTTTTTTTAAAATCACAGTATAAATGTACCTCAAAGGACTGACAAGGTTCCCACAACCAACCCAACGGGCCTCAGTCCTGGACTGGAGGGGAGTTCAGTATGTTCTATTCACTCTGGGGGGCCACAGACTGAATATGAGGGGCCTCTCAGTGCTGTCTGATGTGAATCCCTGTACACTGGGCAGAGACCCAGCAAGCTTGTTTTACACAGGCATCCTCCAGGTCCTCTGGCATCTCATGCACCATTCAGAGCCCCAATGGCTACAGTGGTCTTAGTCTAGCAAGACCCTGCTGTAGCTGGTGGAGTTAACAGCTTGGCCATCCACTTTTAAAACCCAGCTAAAGAGCACAGTGGGCTGGATCTCTTTTGCATGCCTCTTCCACCTGTCCAGGAGCTTTATCTGGAAATTGAGTCTAGTCCACCTCTCCCAGAACCTTTTAATACTTACCACCCAGCATGCGAGCAGCCACCTCCAGGGTGGTAAACTCGCTGATGCCACATTGCCCAATGAGAGATTCATCCTCCAAGGGAGTTCCACCCAAGAGAACCACCTGATCCTCAGGTGCGATGCCCTCCAGGGACTCAATGTGAGCCTGATAGGAGACACAAGGTACAGAGGGGTACAGTCAGCTGGTAAGGCCAGGAGAGCAAAGCTAATCAAGCACCTTCCTCAAGTCAGCAGGCATCACTGTAATCCTCCCCATAACATGAGGTAGAGGTGTGCTATCCAGGGGGGCACAGTATCCCAGATCAAAGAGTTTCTTTCTGGGCAGCACAATGCTAAAAGGATTGAGTGGTTGGAAGGAGTTCAGATCCCACTGACACAGATCAGGAGTGAGAAGAACTGATTCAGGAGGAGAGTTAGATCTGTGGAGACTGGCTTTGCAGGGAAAGAGATGATGCATTCCAACAGTCTCTGGGGATATGAATGGGGTAAATGCCATGGAGGGAAAGGAATCCATGCACTAGGACAGACAGGAGTTATAGAAAAGCCTGACCAAATTGATTAGAGTGGCAGTGGGGAGAGGTACCACTGAGTTATAGGGTGAAACTAACAGCCCTTCATTCAAACTGCAAGGCCAAATGCAATTACCCCAATTACAATTTGGTGTCACAAAGTGCCAGAGGTATTTTAATGAGAAGCAATCAGGAACATTTAATATTTCTTCTGAAGGAGCAGACACCAGGGAGTACTGGTTGAGTCCAGCATTGACTCAGAGGTGAGAGCAACCCCTCCTGGGCTCAATCCCACCCCACCCCCTGCAGCACAGCCCTTTCCAATACCATGCTGGGACACTGGAATCAGCAGAATGCCCCTTACTGACTCAACTCCAGAGCACCATGGCTTTCTGTGAAGGTCTTCCATCCAAGTTCTGGACTTGGAAGCACATACACAGTGTATAATGTCAAGATCAAAGCCTGATGTGTTCCAGCTTTGGGCAGCCATGTTCCTAGGATTCTCTCATAAGGCTACCTTCAACACAGATCAAGCAGAGGAAAGAGATATGCAGTGCCCAATACTTTCTTTGCCAATATTTATGATCAGAAATCAGCAGCAATTCTGCTCCTTCCCCTCCCCTCGGGCAGGAGCAATCAGCTGAAGGATGCACTGAAAAGCCCAACAGATGTGTTTAGGGTGACATGGGGTGGGGCACAAAAAAAAGTATGTGGCTAGCGAATCCTTACCTTAATGTGAGCTACTGTTTCCTGTCCAGACACCTCAAGGGTGTGCAGGTTCTGAGCACGGATGAACAGCTGCATGGTTCCAGCTACGCTGAGTGGACAGAACAAGAAGAGTTAGAGCAAGTTACCCAAGATCAGGCCATTCCCACAGAAGGCTAAAAACATTAGGTGTCACATTCTGTGGCTACATTACATTAGACAGGCTGAGAGACACACGCAGCTTACTTGTCAGATTTCACCGCAGCTACCCAGTAACCTACTGGGAGCTCTACAGATAAAAACCCAAACAGAAAACAAGCAGACACCATGAGCCAGTGAAACACCTAGGAATAGAACCCAGGAGT